TGCCGTCTTATTCCCCTCGCCGAGACGGTGAAGAAGCTCAGTGCGGTTTGCATGGAGTGCCACTCCCGCTCTGCCTCCTTCACGTACCGCACTGTGTCCTCTGAGAAGCGGGAGCTCATCGGTGGTGCTGACATGTACATTGCCGCCTGCAGAAGATGCTTCATCAGTAAGTCGCGAAAGCGGGCGCGGGCGGAGGCGGCCAGCTGCTCGGCGGATAAACTGGAGGACGCTCCGCAAGACCTGGAGGCGGAGAAGCAGGAGGGCGTACTGCAAGACCAGGAGGCGGAACCAAGGACACCTTCAACAACGGAGGCGGGGGCGGCGGGATTCCCGTCGCCGCTCAAAATCGATACAAAGGCCCCAGACGACGACAAGCACTGCACACCAAAGGAACGGCTTACGTGTGACTAAGACTGCCGTCCACTTCACGAATATAAGCGCACGAAGGCCGCCTTGCCGTCACTGGCGTCGTAGAGGAAGCGCCGCCGCAGCACTATACATGCCGCGGGTGTCCACGTTAGTTACAAACTTCCTTCTTCCACCCTTTCGCTTGTTTTCTTTCGTTTGTTTTTATTTTTTATTTTTGAACTATACCAACACCTCAGTCAGACAAAAGAAGGGGAAAAAAGAAATGCCCATAGAAAAAAAAGTAAGCAACAAAAACAAAAACGAAATGCAGCTGCCTAGAAATTTGTTCTGTGTCATAAGCATCTAAAAAAAAAAAAACTTTCATAGAGAATGTATTCGGGGACGCATAACTCCTCTTTTCTGCACTAAACGCCACAAGAGGAGCCATTTACAAAACGATGAAGCGAAAGGGGCAGTGGATGCAGTGAAACGCATAGATGTGATGCAGATCCTCTCCATTGGATTATCAATAAATTTAACAACGTAAAAAAAAAAAACGGAAAGGATATGGTTTGGGTTGAACCCACAAATGGCAAGAGAAAATGCAGGGCAAAGATGGTGGAGGGTAGCTGTTAGTCCTCGCATCGTTCCCTGTTAGATCAACTACTCTTTGAGACGCGGGGTCTTGTGTGTCGCGCCTGAAGTTTGTTTGTTTGTCGTGTTTTCTATTTAGTGTTGTTTTATTGTTGTAGTCTCTCTCGTGTATACGCATACATATGTGGGCCTTTGGTGTGCTTACATTATAAAACAAACGAGGAAAGAAACGGGAAATGAAAGAGACTTGGACGATTATTACTTCACTTCCATTGAGAAGCTTTTTATAGGCGGAGTGGTCCAGTCCACAGTGAAAAAAAAAAAGGACAACAACAAATTCTATTTGCGCATTGACGATGCCTCTCTCTCTTTTTTTTTTTTTTCCCCTTCCTCCCGTTGGATTCAATTTTTTTGTTTCCTGCTGGGAAGCGATGGCTGCTTCGCGTGAGTGTTCATAGATATATATTTATTTGTTGTATTTTGGGGGGAGTGTAACTTCAACTCCAATTCCCTTGCAACTACCCCCCTCCCCCCCGTCCTGAGGCATGTTGTTTGGAAGGGCAAATGTAACGGGAACGGGGAAGCACTACATCAACCCCATGGGGCCCACTCCTTATGCTCTTTTATATATTCCGCTTTACGGCGTCTGTGTGCGTGTGTGTGTACCTCTTGACACTGCCTCGCTGCGTGAGGAGGTTTCAGCTGCTTTTGGTAGCGCCTTCATGGTTTTACCGCTGTGGGGGGTGGGGCAATGATGGTGAGGGAGCATGATGTTAGTTTTTGTGTTGGTTTATTATGCGTGTGTCATGGTGGTGTGCAGCTCCTTTGCTTAGGCACGGTCATGTTCATTTTATTCGACGGTTTTCTTTTTATTTATGGGGTTCACTCGAGCTCTCCTTGCGCGGCGTGCCACGCAGACACACACACACTGGAAGAGGTTTTTTCTTTTGAAAGTAGGCCTTTATAGACGAAGCGAAAGTCGTCCTAGGGAAAAGGCGCGTGGTAACGCGGTTTCGCCTGACAGCTGCAAGGAAAAGACGCAGCCAGGTTGTGATTGCAGGATGGTTCCCTGCATTTACTACACGGACTGCTGCGTGGAAGTTGCAGAGAGTTTTGCGCCTGCGGGCACTGACCGTCGTGTGACTTCCGGTGGTGAAACAAATTACTATCAAGCGACAACTCTGTCCACCCACCCCAAGAAGCGCTTTGCATTTGACGCCGTGGTTACTGAGACAGCAGCGCAGCATGATGTGTACGAGACTGTTGGGGCTTCTATCGTTAACTGAGTGATGAGAGGGTACACTGGAACAATTCTTGTATACAGGCAGACTGGTGGTGGCAAGACCCGCAGCATAATTGTCTATTCTGACGGTAAAAAGAACGTTTTTCTCGCCAGTAGCCCACAGTAGGAGGCGTATGGCCTTGTTCCTTGCATCGTATAGGCACTCTTTGGTAGCCTTAACCGCCTTGACTCTGTGGAGAGCGCACCTTGCGGATGACATCAAGGAGCTTCTCTGCAGAAATCTACGGGCGCATGCGATGGAATGCCACCGCATCCACGAAGACGCGCTTGGCAAGGGTGGACATGTGGAGTTGCTCAAGCAGGTGAAGTGTCACAGTGCCGAGAAGGTGTTGAGCTTGGTGACCACAGCTAGGGATATCATTGAAGCTTGTGGCGGCGGCATGGCGGCGCCGTAAACCGTAGTTCACCTTCTAATCTGTCTTGTGTTAGAGCAGTATAACCCGGTGGCAAGCAGCACGCTCACCACGAGTCGGTCCAACCTTGTGAAGTTTGCCGGAAGCGAGAAGGTGTCTCGAACGCTGGTGGAGGGTGACAGACTGAAGAAGGAGCGGTTCATCAATGTTTCCCTCACACTGCTGGGAAACGAACGTCATTTATAGCCTGAGAGATGGAAATTTTGGCTACGTGTGCCCTACCTTGATTCCAAGCTTACACGCATGCTGCAGGAGTCCATTGGAGGGAATGCAACGACGATACTGCTCTGCTACAACTCTCTTGGTGCCCGCAACCGCATGGAGAAACTCAAGACGCCGCGGTTTGTGTAGCGAGCAAAGCGGGTTGAGGAATCGACCGCGAGTTTAACTGTTAGTTTACCACACAGGAACTGCAGGTTCAGTACGCCTGTGTCTTTGATCAGGTTTGGCTGTAAGAGGAACGTCTACAGGTGCAGGATGACCGTTCTCGAGAC